TCAGCAGAAAAGTAATATCTGTGAGAAAAGACTCAATGAATTGGTGTTTAGTCTAGAAAAAAGAAGAGCAAGAAGTACAGTAACAGTTTTCCCTTGTTCAGATGGATAAAGTATTCCTGTGATGCTCAAAAACTCCAGTCAGACATGAGGAAACTTCTCAAACAGGAAGCACAGCACTTTCACGCCTTTCCTGGCATGGCTGTGGAATTTTTCCCACTGGGCATCTTTAATAACTGAGATAAAGAGCTCTCAGGAAAGGGACTGGCACAGTGGATGGACTTGATGGCTTCTTCAAGTCATTTTCATCCCTATCTGTTTTCCTAGGTTACAAAAAGCTGGAATCTAACTGCAGAAGACAAAGAGCTGGAGGCTGTGCTATTTCTTTAGCACAAAGAGGTGATGTTCAGAAGAACTGGATGCTTTGTCAGGACTCAAATGGAGAATACACAAGAGAACTAAGAATCCCCCCCAGATCTCTCAAGTGCCACCTAAAAGGATGCAAAGCCAATAGATGACCCTATGGGAAAGGCATCAGAAGGTCACCCTGGAATTCCAGTTGCTGGGAAGACAAAGCAGAGAGGATCCGGCTCATCCAGCATTCTCTGCTCACTGAGGAAACATAACATCAGTTGTTCTCAGGGATACAAACACTGGTGACTCCCAGCAAAGAGATTGATGTTGACTGATTTGAGTCCTGTTGACTCAGGATCTCTTGGATCTGAGCTCTTGCAGATGTTACATGACATATTTCAGCATCTGGAAAAATGATTTATTTGAGATATAAGTACCTCTGATATTTCTAGAAGTACTTTATCATCCTCACACTATAGCAGAAAGGATACTGGGTTTATATTGACATGAAGGAGTGGGCTTATTGACCTACACTCTGTTGGCAGAGGTGCCACAGATCATACTGCAGCAAAGAGAATACATAGAAAATGCTACTAAACAATTTCTAAGAGATGAAAGATTCAACAAAACTAATATAAAGGGGGAAAATAGTGTTCTTACCATCATGTGTGACTTTACTTGAAGCTATTCGAATTACTTCTGTTGTTATGGAGATCTGTCCTTTTTCATCCCTGGAGGCTCCCACTGGAAAGTGGAACTCGACAAAGAAGGTACTAGGAGGGGAAAAGGGAATGGATGATCAGAATCCATCAAAAAGCTACTGGGCATAATGGAAGTGAGCACAGAGGCAAGTGTCATACTCACAATTTACTGTTACTCTACTTCTTTAGAATAACTGAAGTACCTGGTTTATGAATTACTTCAATAGATTGTGTAACTGTCAGATTCTGCTCAAAAAATACCCCTTTTGTTTTCAATGTTCTGCAATGTTGTACCTCCCCAAAATCCCTGATAAAGCACAGCCTGAAGTGAGCCCATGTCAGGATAAATTATTCACATCTCTACTTTCCAAAGGCTATGGTAGCAACTTTTATAGAATCATGGAATGGTTTGGGTTGGAAAGGACCTTAGGATAATCCAGTTCCAACCCCCTGCCCCAGGCAGGGACACCTTCCACTAGAGCAGGTTGCTCCAAGCCCCTGTGTCCAACCTGGCCTTGAACGCTGCCAGGGATGGGGCAGCCACAGCTTCTCTGGGCACCCTGTGCCAGCGCCGCAGCACCCTCCCAGGGAAGAGCTTCTGCCTCAGAGCTCATCTCAATCTCCTCTCCCTCTGGCAAGTCAAAGCCATTCCCCTTGGCCTGTCCCTCCATCCCTTGTCCAAAGCCCCTCTCCAGGTCTCTTGTAGCCCCTTTAGGTATTGGAAGGCAAGAGCAGAGAAATGGAAAGACCTCAGAAGCCTGAAACACTGGTCTACACCCAGACCTCAAAGAAATCTACCTTGAAGACACAAGCATCCAGCTGGTGAGAAACAATCCCCCTTACCACTTGTTAACTGCTGCAGGCCTTGGGGGCTTCCCCGTGACACCTTTCTTTCTTGGTGAGACCTGGATGCTCTCAGGAGGGATTTTCAAGCTTTCAATGATGACTCTGGCCAGGTGGATTCGCTCCAGCAATGCCACCCTGTCTGCACCCAAGGATGTGATGGGACCTGCTCCTGTGAGATCTTCTGGAGGAGCAAGTGATCTGGTAGGAGAGTGGCTGAAGAGAGAAGACTGAGAATCAGCACTACAGGAATGACAACATGAAAAGAATATTGTAGCTTGGTGGGATATTAGTTAAATACTGCTCATGGTTCACTAAAAAGAATGGTTTAAAATGTATTTTACAACAAATCTGGTGTTCTCTGTAACAGAAATCTTACAACACACAGTAGCTGAGGTACGTAAGCGGAAAAAGAAGAAATAAAAAGCACATGTTCCACATTGTGGAGTTTTGGATAAATCTTATGCAGTCAAACTATTCAAAAAGAAAAACTTCATTTAACACCATGTACAAGAAACAGGAGATGATACAAGTGACACACATGGACAAGTCACTGCTGCAGAGGAACAGCAGCTCACTTGCAATTATTTGGAAGATTTGACTTGCAAATGGGTTTGTGTTGGTACCTCTGGAGAGATGAACTTCACCTGAATGTAAAAATAGGAGTAGTTGTAAGAGGATGCTCAGGGGCTGGAGCAGCTCCCG